CTTCCTGGCTCGGGTGGAACCAACACTGGCGGATTTGACAAATATTCTTTGATCTTATCAAAAACCTCTTGACATTCATCTGTCCATTTGATCACTGCATCTTTCTTCAACAACTTAAATATGGGCTCACACGTGGTAGTAAGCTGAGCAATGAACCTGCTGATGTAATTCAATCTCCCTAGCAGACTCATGACCTCTTTCTTGGTTCTCGGAGGCGGAAAATCCCGAATAGACATTATCTTTATCGGATCTAACTCAATACCCCTCCGGCTGACTATAAACCCCAGAAGTTTCCCATATGGAACTCCGAATGCACATTTGGCTAGATTCAATTTCAAATCATACCTGCGCAGACGCTCAAAGAACTTTCTCAGATCTTGCACATGGCCTTCTTGTGTTCTGGATTTAATGATCACATCATCCACATACACCTCAATTTCCCGGTGCATCATGTCATGGAAGATGGCAGTCATGGATCTCATGTAAGTTGCCCCGGCATTTTTCAAACCGAATGGCATGACTTTGTAACAATAAGTGCCCCACGGCATGGTGAAAGCCGTCTTTCTGCATCGTCCTCATCCATCAAAACCTGGTGATACCCAGCATAACAATGCACGAAAGACTGTATCTTATGTTTGGCACAGTTGTCAACAAGAATATGAATGTTTGGCAGTGGAAAGTTGTCCTTGGGACTTGCTTTGTTCAAATCCCGATAATCAATACACACTCGGGTTTTCCCATCTTTCTTCGGCACTGGGACCATATTAGCCAACCACGTGGTGTATCAGACCACCCGAATCACACCAGCTTTTAATGGTTTGGTGACTTCTTCTTTGATCTTATCACTGATTTCCGTTTTAAACTTTCTTTGCTTTTGTTGTACGGGTGGGTAACCGGGATAAGTTGGCAATTTATGTACTACCAAATCAACGCTCAAACCTGGCATATCATCATAGGACCATGCAAACACATCCTTGAATTCAAACAAAAGTTGGATCAATGCATCCCTAGTTCTTTCATCGGCGTGAATGCTTATCATGGTTTCTCGGACCTCTTCTGGACTGCCCAAATTAACTGGCTCGGTTTCATTTAAGTTTGGCTTAGGCTTATTCTCAAATTGTTCCAATTCTCAATTTATTTCCCTAAAAGCCTCATCTTCATCATATTCTGGATCTTGATTCATTATTTCACAGTTAGACAGTGTTTTAAGATCTGGGCATGAAGTCCGCAAGCATGTCATGTTATTTAAGTCCGCATTATTAGAACTGAAAAGGAAAAGATAAGAAAAGTAGCAAAATTAGAATTAAAAAAAAAAAGGAAACATCCATTGATGATGAAATATTGATTACATTTCATTGAATTGAAGATAAGAGGGTTTACATCGAAATCAAAAGACAATAAAATAAAAACATTCGAGTTACACCCTGAAATAACTCGTAATGTAGAAAAGATGGCAAGACTGGACTACCGGGATTCCCGCCTGACAGGGAATGGGGTAGCTTTCCAATTCTGAAGTTTGGCATTTGGCCCCATGTATAACACCTCAGCAGTGCTCGTTCCTTCCCCCAGCTGGACCATGTAGGACTCATACAGCATTCGTTTCATGGCTTCACAAATATCCTCAATCTCTTCAACCGTGAAGGCCTCTTCTTCTTCTTATTCTACATATTTGGGATCAATAAATGACTTGGTGAGATACGAAACGGGCTGATCCAGGACCCACCCATTTTTCTTGCGCTCATCAGCCCATTTTCTATCGGCCTCTGTAGCTCAGAAACCTATGCCAAAGAACTTCTCATTGGCGGTTGACGTAACAGGCTCTATGATGCCTTGTAGATATACCCCGAGCCCCTTTCCGGGCTTGTACCCATGTTTAATCATTTCAGTGGCGACCTTGACTATGGCATTAGATAAGCAAGGTTGAGGGAATGGGGCCCCTTCTTCGCATTGATCAGCGATCATAATTTCGAAGGCTTGGTAGACAATGTGCTCACTTCCTTCTCTAGCTTCGAGACATGGGACTGAAGGGTCCCTGTAAATGGACTGTTCATCCTCCCCGTGGACAACAATTTCTTGGTTTTCATATTCAAATTTAACCATTTGATGAAGAGTGGAGGGCACAGCTCCTGCAGTGTGAATCCGTGGTCTTCCTAGGAGAAAATTATATGAAGTATCCATGTCCAGAACCTGGAAAGTTACTTCAAAATCCACATGGCCAATGGTCAAAATCAAATCAATTTCCCCTATTGTGTCTCGTTTGACACCATCAAAAGCACGCACACATACATTGTTTGATCGGATTCTTTTTGTTCCAATTTTCATCCTCTGGAGCGTTGAGAGAGGGCAAATGTCGATCCTAGACCCACCATCTAGCATGACTCTCTTCATATAATAACCTTTGCATTTGACAGTCAAGTGAAGGGCTTTGTTGTGGGTGGCTCCCTCTTGGGGCAAATCATCACGGCTGAAGGAAATCCTATTAACTTCAAAGAATTGTTCAGCCATTCTTTTCAGTTGTTCAACTGAAGTTTCAACCGGGACATCTGCCTCGTTCAATATTTTCAGGAGTACCTTCTGATGTTCATTTGAGCTAATAAAAAGAGATAAAAATGAAACCTGGGAAGGAGTCTTCCTGAGCTAGTCAATTATTGCATATTCCGAAGTTTTCATTTTTCGGAAAAACTCTTCTGCTTCCTCAGAACTTACAGGCTTCTTAGGCGAAAACCGTTTATCCTTGCTCAGTTTTAACATCTTTTTCTCTTCTGGGTTGTGGTACTTCCTAGGTTGGTTCATTTCGTTCACCTCTCCCATAATTTCTTTCCCCTTGTAAGTAACCACTGTTTTGCTATAATTCCAGGGGACTGCAGTGGGGTCTCTCATAGCGCTCTGTGGTGCGCGGCTAATAACCACGGGCTCATTCAGCCTTGGTGAAATTACCGGTCCCTGCACCACATAAGTTCCTTTTGGCACATACAACTTTGGCATATTTAGCGTGACTTTCCTCTGCTCAAATCTTTTGGGGGTTTTCAACATGAGTTGTTCTTTCCTTGGGGCCCTAGGAACATAGAGAATTGCGTCCTTAGCAGGTGCTGCCCCAATATTTGTTTCTGCAATTTGAGGAGTTAGAGTGATTTTCTTCTCATTTCTGGCTTGTTTCACCGCCGCTTTAGGTCTTGCCTCTGAATCGACAATGGCGATGATAGCTTTCAAAGCTGGATAAAACTCTTTATCATCACAAATCATTCCAATGACCGTCCCGTTGTTGTGAGTCGGTAATGGATTGTTAGTCACATTAGGGACTTCCTCGTCCCTCAGCACCACTCGTTTTTGTTCTATCAAATTCTCAACGGTTCTCTTGAGAGTCCAATAATCCTCCGTATCATGACCCTTTGCCCCTGAATGATAGGCACACCTAGTACCGGGACGGTATGATGGAGATTCCAGATTTTGCCGATTTGGAGGCACAAGTTGCAATAGACCCATCTTGACTAATTTTGGAAACAAGCTAGAGTAGGACTCACCAATATGGGTGAAGTAGTTTCTCCTAGGATGCTCACGAGGGCGTGTATTATGTTGGTAATTATTTTGTGGGGGACGGGGGTTATATGGAGCTTGGTAAGGATGGTTATTTCTGGGAGGTGGAGCTCAGTTTTCGTTGTAGTGTTGTTGTGGCCGTGTATAAGGTTGGGCATTCATCACCGCATAGGGAGGCGGTTCCATGGCATATGCTGCATCTTGATGGGGGTATTAGTGTTGTGGGGTTCTGGAAGGCATGTAAGAATGATCGCGGGATCGATGGGGGCCTCTCAAA